ATCTCTTACGCGATCAACATCCAGATGGCATCTATAAGCCCATCATCCTATCCAGCAACCTCTAAATGGCATCTATAAGCCCATTCCCCACCACATCACTGCTACTATGTGAGCGCAAATTTCTGGGCACTCTAGTGTTCAATCACCTTCTACCCTCGGATTACGAAAGGCACGTCAGCCAATCTGCATCCTCAGGTCTAAGGAGATTGAACAGGGGTAACTGTTGTACCCCAAAATTTTCCCTCCCATATTTTTCAAGAAATTGCCAAATCAAAACTTCAAAACCTCTCCAAGGGTTGCACAGTCAAGGGCCTCCTAAGCAGTCAAAATTAGGGTTTTTGTTCTGATCAAGAAAATGAAGTTTCCAAGGGCCCAATCAAGTCCCACGTGCCTACAAATATGGTCAAGCATCCTCATATCAAGTTTCAAGACATTCAGCTCAAAATTGCACAGTCAAAACCCTAAATTGCACTACAGTCAACTGTAGGGGCAAAATGGTCATTTGACAGTCAAAAGTTCAAATTTTTGGTCAACATATCATTTTGAAGCCACGAACATCATTTGATCAATGCTTGATCATGATTCTCAAAACTTGGCTCAAAAATCATCAAGATGCAAAAGTTTCTATTTTTGGACAGCTAAAAAAGTCAACTGAAATTGACCAGGGCATAACTTTCACATGGTTCATCAGAAAAATTCCATCCAAAGATCATTTTGAAGAGAAAGACATTTCCTACAACTCATCTTCATACTTCAAGTCCAAGAAATGCTCTCACAAAAAGTTATCAATTTCAACATTATAGGTCATTTTCAAAAGTCAACAAAAAGGGACTTTAAGTCAAAGGCCATAACTTAATATTGGTAAATCAAAATGACATGGGACAAAAGACATTGTTTAGAGGACTTCAAGACCTTTCTAAAATGTCCAAGAACATGAGCAAAGCTTAAAAATTGAGCAAGTTATGCATTGGAGAAGTTGGGAAATTTTTGTGAAATGGCCAAAATCATTTATCCTTGAAATCTCATTTTTGACAAAAGGGGCCCACTTTTTCCACTTGAATTAACTTGGCCAAGCTTCCCACGTGTCCCACCTTTTATTTCATATTTTTTAATTAATTTTTTCATTTTTTATTGATTTTCTTGGATTTAATTAAGTTTAAATCTTTTAAAATCAAGGAAAAATCAAAAAGTTTGATTAAATGAAATATTTGGCCTTAACTAGCCTTGAAACATCATTAAGCCTATACCAAATTCGTGCAAGGAGGCAAATAAGGCAAGAATTCAAAAATAAGGCAAAAATGGAAAGTGTGATAATGGTGGTTTATGTGAAAATCCAAGGCATCAATGCAAGGCATTATTGGCCATAATTCTCATTCATACACATTGCCTAAGAGATATACAAATGATCAGAAACCAAATAGAAGACAAGAGGCTGCGCAGGAACCTTGAAAAAAAACTCACACTTTTTACAAAAAATCTCAAATCTGAAAACCAAGTTAGAGGTGGTTTCAAGCCACGATTCTCATCCCATTAGCTTCCTTGAGCATCATTGGACGTATTCCAATCAAAAACATCAATCCAAACGCTGTGAAACGGTATCCATAAGTCACCCTTTTGCCATTTTTTTTCATTGTCGTGTTTTAATATCCATGCACATTCATAACATTTTGCTTATATATTCGTGATCAGTGAAGTGTTTGCAAGCTAACCCATGCGTTTAATTATGTTTTTGAGCTGTATAGACGATTTCGCCATGGTTGATTTCTAGGGTTACAGGACCTTGGAATTGGGGCTTTTCACCCAAGGAAAAATTGAGACTCATGACCACCATCACTCAAATCAGCGCGCTTGGACGATCTCAAATGTACCCTCGCGCTCAATTTATGAGCGTCTGAGCTCTAATCGCTATTTTTTGAAAGGGCCTCTTCTGAAACGGTGTAAAAACCGTTGCCAATGCTTTGACATTTTCAGGAAAATAAAGCATTGGGGAAGACGATTGTTTGTCATGCTGTGATTGGCTGGTTTGAATCCAGCGCGCATTTTTTTATTTTTATAATACTAACGCGTTATTTTGTTTATAAATTTTGTTTGTTATTTAACTTACAAAGAAGCAATTTGGCACAGTTGGTAGGCGTGTAGGTGGATAACCAAGAGGACCTGGGTTCGATCCCAGGTCTTCATTCTCTTCATATTATTTTGTGTTTAGTGATTCCATGCAGGATCAGCATCAAGGTACATCATGCGCTCTCAACATCAAACCATTCACAAAGCCAGGGAGATCAAATCAAAGGCTCAGATCTGAAGACCATGATGGGTCCTAGTCAAAGCTACCACACGTGGCCTGAAAAAGTCAAGCAAGGCTTCAGTAATGGGCCAGAAATTGCTGAGGCCAACCTCCAAATTAGGGGCTTCACCCCCTTAGGTTTTGCAATTTTCTTTCTTTTCTTTATTCTTTTTTATTATTTTTATATTTTTTTAATTGTTGCTTTCTTTTAATTAATTAATATTTTCAAAATATAAAAATACCAAAAAAAATCAGAAAAGATAAAAATAATAAATATTTCATTAATCATTAATTTTTGTAAATAAATCCCTTAATTAATTTAGATTTAATTTTAGGTTATAATTTAACTCTTTTTTCACAATAAACCAAAAATAACAAAATAGGCCTTTAGCACTTTTTATCCTTTTTTTTTATTAAATATTTTTATTATAAATATCATTAACCATTAATTTTGTAAGTAAATTTTATAATTAATTAGTTTTAATTCTAGGTTTTAACTTTAATGCATTTTCTTTAATAAATTAAAAACAATTAGAATTAGAATTAATTACTTGACTTTTAATTAATTTAATTTTCTTTAATGTCATAAATACAAAAACATAAAAATAAGTTCTTTCTTTTCTTCTGATTTAATTTAATTATTTTAACTTAATTATTTTAAATTCCTTCAAAGGGTTCAACGCCCTCGCATTCGATTATGTTTTTGTTCGCGCGTTTTATTTATTTCTTTTGTGAATATAATGTACTTGTTCCAAAGCCATGTAATAGCTATTAGACATTTATTTTCTGCACTTTATTTTAAATCGGGTCTGGATTAATTTGGCATTGTAGACCCGCGCCTTTGTAATAGCGTAGGACCTTTTATCTTTTCCGCACTTTAATTTCCCGCACCTTTAACTGTTAAACAATAACATGAAAGAATGAATGCCCAAAAATAAAAATAAAGCGTAGATCACCAATGCATGAACAAGACAAAAATATCTGAAAACGACACACAAATCACACACCATCCCTAGGGTACGCCTCACTGTTGCCTTGCCCCTCGAAAGGTGGTCATCAAGTATAGGACGTCTTAGTAAGTCCTTATGTTCCATTGATCTAGTTGCCTCGAATAAGTTGCCTCGGAACGGTTGCCTCGGAATAAAAAGATCAATGGCATAAGGGTAGCTTCTAAGGTATCCTATTGTTGCTCTGGTGATCACCCTGTTGCCTTGCCCCTCGAAACGTGGTTGTTGAGTACAGGACGTCTTAGTAAGTCCTTATGTTCCATTGATCTAGTTGCCTCGAATAAGTTGCCTCGGAACGGTTGCCTCGGAATAAAAAGATCAAAGGCATAAGGGTAGCTTCTAAGGTATCTTACTATTGCCCGGTGACCACATTGTCCCTAACCCTCGAATTGACCCGAACACACCCAACGGTGGTGCTACCTACCTCTCAATGGTGGGATGGCACTACTTTAAGGATACTTACACAGAAGAATTCCTTAGGGTAGGTAGATGACTCATAGATACTTGCTCTAATTCAAAAACAATCAAAATACTTTTCACACCTCACACTTTTCAAAAAGCTTTCAAAACAACTTTTCAAACACTCTTGAGGACTGATACAAGAGTCGATCTGAAACTTTCAAAGAAACTTTTTTCAAACCCACTCACACTTGAAAAGCAAACAAACATTTTAAAAACACAATGAGCAAGTATCTAAGAGCCCATGGATAACCATGGATAGAAAGGGTGCTAACACCTTCCCTTTCTATAAATCTACCTCCCGAACCGAGAGCTAATCTCAATAAGGAATTTTTCTGTGCTTTTGTCCTTTCCATGTTGGAGAAAATAAAAGACGGTGGCGACTCTTGCTTACCGCGACATTTCGCGAAACCAGCTTTAAAACAGTTAGTTCCAGATCCACCGATCACAACATTTAATGTTAAAATTATCTCTTATTTGGGTATCATCTCTAGGGTCCCAACAACATTTCTCCTTCAAAAAATATGAAATAAAGTTATAATCGTGATTGAGTGAATAACTTTAATAAAGGTAAAAAAGATAAAAAAAGATTAAACAAAGTTGATTATACCTGAAATAACCTAAACCAAACCTCCCTCTCATCGCCATCAACTACACCATACGTAGGCCAAAATTTGTTATACTTTTCTTTAATGATCTCAGTTATGCAAGTTGCTGCCTGATGTGATGAGTAAAATCTAAACAACCAAAATATGAGTTAGTATTAATTATAAACTAACAACTAAAATTTATAATTTAAACATAAACACTTACGATGATCCCGCTGGCTGAATGACAAATCGTCCATTCTTCTTCCTAATCACTTGTGGCACATTTCTCAAAATGTGTGCCTTCCTATGCTCTTGGTCAGTCTCGTCCTGAACAACCTGCTCTGCATGGTCATCATCATCACCCTGCTCCTCATGCGGAGAATGCATGGGTGATGAATGTGACGTGCTAGATCCACCACTTGGATCCCTATAATGCGTAAATGTTGGATCTATAGTAGGTATGGAGGTGTTAGGTCCAGCCTGGGGCATATAAGATGTATGTCCAGGAGGACTAAGAAAAGATGAGGGGGAAATGTCAGGAAATGTAGAATAAGGTGTGGATAGTAGGTCTGTGAATGTAGAAGGAGAAGGATGCATAGATGATGGTGTGGGACGCATAGATGGTGGAGTGGGATGCATATGTGGTAGAGTGGGATGCATCTATGGTGGAGTGGGAAGCATAGATGGTGGAGTGGGATGCATATGTGGTAGAGTAGGATGCATTAATGGTGGAGTGGGATTCATAAGAGGACGATGTGGTTGTTGACTCGATTGTGGCATAGAAATAAGGTCAGTCGTGTCAGGAACCTCTTCTATAATACACCTCGATCGACTGTGACGAGACTTATCTACTGGAGTCTTACCCTTATCTTCACGTCGGAGTGGCATTTTTTTTTCTGTTTTGAAAGATGAACATAAAATAATTGATACGTCAAACTTACAAGAATAATATATAATAATTCAGGCAAGAATAATATTATTACCCAAGAGTTGTTAGACATGAATAAAATAATATTACACAAATTATATTAAACAAATTAATATTACACAAATTAATCATCATTCATGCCCATCTTCACTATCTTCATCAGATATGTTATTATAGTCTTCAGACTCTACTGACTCTTCATGCTCCTCTTCCACAGGCGTCAATAAAATAGTGGTGTCAACTTGTTGACCCTCAAGTGTAATATCACACAAGGTTGCAATCTCCTCAATTTCAATGTCCCCATTGACAGGTGAAATATCATCATCTTGGAATGCAACATCATCTATTATATCTCCAGTTTCAATATGACCTATTGGGTTAGACTTGATTGCAACACACCATCCTTGTTTTCGTGGTTGAATGGAAGGATTAGGTACGTAATAAACTTGCCTAACATTACGTGCCATTATGAAAGGGTCATACTCTTTGTACTTCCTGTCCATTCGAACCTCAACAATGTTGTATTTTTTGTTTATTTTTGTTCCTCTAGAAGATGGATCATACCGGTCACAATAAGTAAGTATACTATTTTTTTATATAAATTAAATATATTATGTTTTATTTATATTAAATATACTTTTTTTATATACTAAATAAGTAAGTATACTATTTTTTTTAAATAAGTAAGTATACTATTTTTTTATATAAATTAAATATATTATATTTTATTTAAATTAAATATATTTTTTTTATATACTAAATAAGTAAGTATACTATTTTTTTTAAATAAGTAAGTATACTATTTTTTATATAAATTAAATATATTATGTTTTATTTATATTAAATATACTTTTTTTATATACTAAATAAGTAAGTATACTATTTTTTTAAATAAGTAAGTATATTATTTTTTATATAAATTAAATATATTATGTTTATTTAAATTAAATATATTTTTTTTATATACTAAATAAGTAAGTATACTATTTTTTTAAATAAGTAAGTATATTATTTTTTATATAAATTAAATATATTATGTTTTATTTATACTAAATATTTAAATTACATATAAACTAAATATATTGTTTTTTCTATAAACTAAATATACTAATATTATATAGATTAACTATATATTTGGAATCCTTTATATAAATTAAATATACCTTTTTTTTATAAACTAAATATATATTATTTTCCAAAATAACTAAGTAAACTATTTATAAACTAAATATACTGTATTTTTATATAAATTAAATATATTATGTTTTATTTAAACTAAATATTTATTAAATATACTAAGTATTTAAGTTAGATATAAATTAAATATATATTGTTTTTTTTATAAACTAAATATACTATTTTTTAGATTAATTAAATATTTATTATATTTTATAAAAACTAAATATACTATTTATAATCTAAATAAACTGTTTTTTATATAAATTAAATATATATTTTTATATAAACTGTTTTTATGATATATAATATATAATATATATAAACTATTTAATATAATTAAATATATAAACTGTTTTAATATAATAAAATATAAAATATATAATATATAATATATAATATATAATAAACTATTTTATATATTTATTATAATAAATATATTTTATATAATATATTTTTGAAATTAAAAATAATAATATATAAACTGTTTTAATATATTTTTGGAATAAAAAAAATATAAAATATATATTATATTTTCAGAATATTAACAATTAGCTTAATATATATATATATATATATATATATATATATATATATATATATATATATATATATATATATATATATATATATATATATATATATATATATATATATATATATATATATATATATATATATATATATATATATATATATATATATATATATATATATATATATATATATATATATATATATATATATATATATATATATAAACTGTTTTAATATACTATTTAATATAATAAATATATTTTTGAAATTAAAAATAATAATATATAAACTGTTTTAATATATTTTTGGAATAAAAAAAATATAAAATATATATTATATTTTCAGAATATTAACAATTAGCTTAATATATATATATATATATATATATATATATATATATATATATATATATATATATATATATATATATATATATATATATATATATATATATATATATATATATATATATATATATATATATATATATATATATATATATATATATATATATATATATATATATATATATATATATATATATATATATATATATATATATATATATATATATATATATATATATATAAACTAAATCTAACATATATAATTATATCAACTAAATCTAATATATATCTAAACCAATTTAATTTACCTAAATATACATATAATTCAGAAAAACTTCAATAAAAAATAAAATAAATTACATACCTTGAAGCTTTATTAAACAAAGCTTGTTGATGGAAGAAAAAAATGAAGGAAAGGAGAAGGATGAGAGTTGCAGAGATCTGAAATTTTGATGGTTATGAAACAATATGAAACAAATGAAAGAGAAAGAGGAAGATATAGAGTGCAAAACGTATAAAATTTTGTTTGGGGTTAGCCCCTCGTTAAGTGTCAAACGGTACCATAATTAGTCAGGGGCTAGCTCCTCGCTAGATGACACTAAATATTATTTTCTCTGCCACACGCAAGTTGCTTCAGAGATGGTGCAGGTGTAGCAGTGGTGTTAAAAATGGCTTGGGGATAGCCCCTCGCAAAACAACTTATTTGTTGGCAAGGTGATTGCCCCTCGCAAATGGTCAACGGTTATTTTAATTGGCGAGGTGCTAGCCCCTCGCTAAATGGTTTTTCTTTTACCCACTTGCTACCCCCTCGCAAATGGCCAATGAATGTATTTTCAAACTCCCTCCTAAAATTTAGCTACGGGGAGCTCCAAATTTAAAAAGTTTTTTTTATATATTATTTAGCCAGGGAATAACCCCAAGCTAATGTTAAATTTAGCTATGGGCTTAACCCCTAGCCATTTTCCCTAAGCTGAATCACATTATTCTTACCCTAATCAAACTAGTCTTATAAAAATTAATCCCAAGGCACGAGGCAAGCTCAGATCCCCTCAGAATAGTTTTAATAGTCCATAAAATCTCAATCGACGACTGAACAAAGAGGAAGGAATTATAACACACTAAATATGAGAAGCCTACAATTTAGAGGGGCCTACTTTGAAACCAAAAAAGAGACCAAACTCAAAGACTCCATGAATCAACCCACTTAGGCCTTATACTACAAGGAAGAAGGGAAAAGAGACTAGGGTTCCTTAACCTATCCATAGACAAGCTCTAACCTCATACATTTCAATTATTAATTTAATATTTATCATTAGTCAATTAATTAAAAAAACATTTATAACAATTATAATCTTTTAACGTCACAAATATAAAAAATATAAAAATATAAATATAAGTTAAAATATAATTCACTAACTATAAATAAAAATAAATGATAGCACAACATTTATTAATCTATCATTGACCACTTTAAATAATTAATATTTTTTCAATAACAAAATTATGACATCCTATCATGTTAAATCAATTTATTTAATAGTTGTGTAAAAATATCAAATGCGGAATCACGAATTTAAATCTGTGACAACTTATTTATTCATCTTTAAAGGATGAACTCTAACCATTAAACTACATGACACAAAAAATTATGACATCCATTCCTAACAAAAAAATTATGACATCCATTTACATAAAATGTTTTTTGTATTATTATTTTGTCTTATCTATTTACATTATTAATACAATATATTTTCGTTTCATTATTATTTATTAACTTTAGTTTATTCAACTATCTGTTAATTATTGATTTAGTTCGTCTAATTATTTCCTAAAAAAAACTACTTATATTTTAAATAGAATATTTTAATAACGAGATGAAATGAATTATTGTTAATTTGGAGCATTTATTTTATCATCTGTGTCCCTTTATTATTAGCGCTTCAAGCATTAATAAAAAAGCATTACTTTAAACCATCAAGCTTTTGGTTTTCCATCACATAACCTTTGGACCTTTATAATATTTAATAAATAACTTATCCAAAAAAATCATTTACAATAAAATTTGAGAATTTAACATTAAACAAAAAATGCTGCATGGTATTAATTAATTGTTAATATTATTTTACTCCTGGGTGATTTTCGCTTTATTCCGTGTAATATATATCTTTTAGTTTATCTCTGTAATATTTATTTATTTTTGAATTATTTTCTAAATACATAAATTAAACATTGAATTTAAAGGATATAAATATATATCCTTTAAAGTTATATGTTTTTTTCTCTTTACCTTGCATAAGTTAAGTTCTTATATATATATATATATATATATATATATATATATATATATATATATATATATATATATATATATATATATATATATATATATATATATATATATATATATATATATATATATATATATATATATATATATATAAGAACTTATGCAAGGTAAGGAGAAAAAAACATATAACTTTATTATTTTAATGTATGAATATAACAAATTTCACATAGAAATAGGGTATATTTAATCCATTAATTTAATATTTTTTGGTTTCTTTTTAATGGTCACATTTTTTATTTTTTACATATATCAAGAAAACTAGTAATAATTATTATTACTTTTTAAATTATGATTTTTTTTATATATAATATCTTTAACTTTTAATCATTTTAATATATTTTTCTCTCTTATAATAAATAATGACAAAATTATAATAATTACTATTTTAAAATTTGAAAATGACAATTAAATAAAATAATATTTTTTTACAAAAGTTACATTTATAAAAGAACAAACAAAACTATACCAATATAGTGCAACACCTTCTTCTTTGTGATTCATTAGATAAACAAGCAATAGTAGTATTACTTTTTAGATTACTAATACAATTATT